TATATATATATATATATATATATATATGGCACAGTTTTATTTATCCCTACAATAGGGCTTTCATAAGAAAAGCAAGGATGAATAAAAGGAGGGTGGGTGGAAGGGAAGGAAGCTTTGTTCTTTGGTCACCAAGAAAATCAGACAGCATCAAAAATGCCACAGGCCTGAATTTGAGAGGCATCATGATAAGCACATTTCTGCTTGCAATTCACTAAGCAAACAGTAAACTGATATTCAAGTGGTTCCTCTGCTAATAAATAACAATCCCAAGTCTGTATGGGAAGCATTTGCATCTTACAGTGTCCTTAGACAAAACTGTTGGTATCAAATGAAGTAAAGTACAAGGAACATTTTCTCAAGTGGCCTGCCCTTCTCTAATGCCTTCCTCACTTTGAAAATGGACTTTATTTTTAAAATCAAGGTGTTGTTTTTTTTGTTTGTTTGTTTTTTTGTAGTAGTAGTGTAAGAGGTGGGGGCAGAAATGGAAGAGACAAGGCCAGGATGTGGACTGTGGAAATATATTGTTAAGTAAACAGTGACTGATGACATCTTTGCTTCTTCCATTACCTTGGGATAAGTCAGAGTCTGGCAGGTGTTCTGTTTTTGGTTTAGGAACCCAGCCATTTCTGCTGAAATGAGATTTCAAGAGGAGCCTGATTACTCAGAATTATACTATCTCTCATCCCCAGACTGCGGAAGTTGATGGAGAAGAGGAAGAAAGTAAGAATGGTTTCTTAGAACTGTATTCTACTCATTGTGTGGGAACTAGCTCAACGCGAGGGAATGCAAAGAAGAGAACTAAACATGACCCTGCCATTCTATCACCGCTGAATCACTCTATCAGGACATCTGGAGAATAAATTAATCTCAATGGGCTTCACTGTGTTTCTTTCATGATATTCTGACTAAAGAAGGTGGGTTGTATTATCCCCCTAAAAGGTCACCTATTTTTTTTCTTCCACTATTCCCCTAAGTATTGAACAAGAAAATGCCAGGAATCATTGAAGGTTTCAAAATTGACAGTTATTACTGAGACCATTGTCTGGAATAATCTTAACACTGGTCTTGCTTCTCTTCCTCTCCTTCCCTGTCCTTCTCTTTCTTATTTCTTTGTTCCCTTCTTTCTTCTTTTACTCCTGCACTTCATTATCCTCCATTTTTTTTTCCTTGTGGTTGTAGTTAATAACTTTGCCAGAGTACAAAAAGTCTATAATACTAACGAAACGCAGGAACTTTGCAAGCAATCTCTATTTTATATCCTTATTCTAAAACACATGTTGGGGTGCATCAGTTTCAACTCTCAGCTGCTGTATATGCCTCACATGGGGTGAAGCAGCTGTCACAGGAGCTATTTCCTTTTTATATTAAACATATGAAATTCTGATTTAAACCGTTAGTGAAGCTCAAATTACTTTTCTCTCTGCTTCACTATCCCTGAAATAAAACACTTCAGTGAAAAGCTATACTTTAAACAGAACAAAAATAATTCAATACAGTTTTCCCTAACGTAGAATGAAGGAGACTGTAAGAGACTTGGTGTTCAAATGAATTTGGAAAATTCCAGGTTAAACAAGATCTTATTTTGGAACTCACAAGAGCTTCTAACATGCCAAAGTGCATTTCGAAAGTCTAGGTGTAGAGTACAGTAAGTTGTATTTCTCAAACTAACATAAACATGGAATTCTTTTCTCCATGGGGCATGTGGTGGTAGTGGTGCTTGACTAGGCATCAAATGGTGCTTGAAAAATGGTAGTTTAAAGGCTGTCAGAACCCTCTATTCTGGACGGAAATAGTACAGAAATATCTACTTTGTATATTTCTTGCATTCGATTAAAACACCTTAGTTAAATCAATTGTTAAATTCTCAAACACTGGTAAACTTTAAAGAGGGTTTACAACCTTTAACAATGTCCTCCACTCTGTCCAGTGGAAAGAGTAGTATTTGGAATAGGGGAACAGAAGCAGTTTATTTATTTATTTTTCAGAAGTGGAATACTGGCAAACCTTCTCCCAAATGCCTTTCATAGGTATTTCACTACCTTCTGGTCTTCTTCCTTTTTCTCCCTGTCTCAAGGATAAAGGATGGTTAGATATAAGCTAGGGAGAAAAGGGAACCATCCAGCTACTTCCTCCTAGTTCACACAAATGGCTTCAAGTGGCAGTGTCGTCTTCTGCAGAGCTTCAGAAGAGCTACGAAGTTCACATATTTCCAGAGCACATGGACAAACCAGATAAAGAGAATAAAGAAGAAGATTTTTATATTTTAATTACATACAATGGATAATTTATCCGACAAACGTGGTACTGAAAAGATTCAGATTACAATATGTTACTTGTCTTCAAAAACTAGGACTGCACTTTGAGAGAAATGGGTATGAATTCCCCAGAGGTAAATGCCTCATTAAATATATACAAATACTTAAGTCAACAAGAAATGATTTGTCATTTTGCCTGGGAATAGGTTTATATAGAAGGTAACACAATGTGAATTTTAATGATGAAAAAGTATTAAAAAGTAGATTTAAAAGAGGAGGAGGAAAAATAGTGCAAAAGCAACAATGGCTACATCAAAATATAGGACCTGCTCTAGAGGACAAAATGACTGGGAAACACACATTGGGCCACAGTATGAAGGGAATAGGTGGTGTATGAATCAACTTGGGCTTTAATATGGATCTTATAGGGGAACACTTACATAATTTTAGCTGTTTCTGAGTTGTAGGAACATTTGTAGAGAATAATTTCAAGAACCAAGTGATCAACAGTGTCAAATGTCAGAAAGAGCATGATGTGAACACTGAAAAAGTTATTTGATTCAGTAATTGATTCATTGGGCTTTATATGGTAACATTGACCAGAAGCAGTCTGGAACCTTGACTATTATTCATTAAAGAATATGATTGTAGGTCATAGCTGAGAGGATAAGAATTAAGAGTAAGTATTTTAGCCCTGAGACACACATTTATAAGAAAAAGATTGAAGGAACATATTAACCCACAGTAATTCTAAACCAAAAATTAAAATTGACAGGCAGAAAGTAATTCTCATCAATATATAAACAATGCACCATTATGTGTTAATTAATACAATGTTTCTCAATTTCCTTACTCAAAATATATGTGAATGGGGGCACATTCATAAACATAGATCTAATATCTTATCCTAACCAAGAACTACTTAACAGACAACAGGAGTAGTTTGAGATTTTAATTCAATCTGTTTTCTCTTATACTGTTTATTGTGATTATGAGGGTAATATAATAATATTTCCTAACTGCCTAAAAGTGTGATTCAAGGACTCTGTTTATAGAGACCTCAGAGAGTTAGATAAAAATGTTTTAGATTCTAGGCTCCTCCTCTTCTCTCAGCAGGTTCCATAAAGCTTCCAAGTTTCCATTTCTATACTAGGAAACCTGCATTTCAGATAGGAGAGAGCTCTTGAAAAAACAAGGATAGACTCTGGCCAATAGCAGGCAGTCAATAAAGCTCAGTTATCTTCTCTATTATACATTTGCTTCCCCTTCTTTAACAATCCTCAAGCTTTTGTGCCTGGGACTTCTTGATATGTGAAAAGAGGAATGGTAAACTAGTAACAATGAGGCTTCAGTGTTTTCAAATGCCATTTTCAAGGAGTTATTTTCCTAGAATTTTAGATGCTACTCAACAGAATTAAGTAGCACTTTATTTTAAATGATTGGCTGGGTTCTGAATTTTGAAATGAACTGTAAGACTACCAACTTTTTCATAGAAGTTAATATAAATTTCAAGGACAATGAAATAAGGTAAAGGTCAGATTGATATGAGCTATTACAAAATATGTTGAGTAGTTAAAAAAAAAAAAAACTAACTTGTCCAAGAAGTCTGACCAATTTACTTACTGCATCATCCAGTAAGTTTCCTGTACTCTTTTTCCCAGACGACTTTGATGAAGGAGAAGGTGAAGGAGAAGGGGCAGAAAGTGTTTCTTCTTGTTCAATTTCTTTTTCCAATTTTATCAAACCAGGAGGTTCCACGCCATACCTTTTTAAAAATACCAGATCATTATAATGCATAACTTCTAATGATATAATTTTCATATATTACATTTGATTATAAATACCATAGTAAACTGCTGTCTTTTAAAAACAAAGTTAATTTTTACTGGCATTGAAATGGTAAGTTTTCAAATTAGCCTCCTTCAAGCACAGGGGAAAACACATAAACCTGCTTTGCATGTATACATGTCCATATATAAACACAGACATGATGATATACTAAAAATGAATACAAATCTTCCATGCAATAAGTTGATGAGTCAATTACATGAATAACTGTGGTAAATCTCATCTAGATTTTGCCATTACCAGCTTTAACAATATTAGTGCTGTGATGAAACTCCTATTTTGAACACACATTTGTTAAAGGTAGAGACAATATCAGAGTCAGGTTTGAAAATAGTAACACCTCAAAAATAAATATTTCCCCAGAGCAGTGTCTGACACATGGCATAACCTTTGAGATTACTTTTGATAAATTATCTATCCTAATAAAGGTTTCACAACTAGGAAACTAGAGCACTGAGGTTCTAAAGCCAGTCTTCAGTGTTTTTAAAATAATCTACCATAGAATGAGATATTGTTAATGGACTCAAATTAAGGGGTTATTAAGATGGAAAGTGATATTACTATTATTATAGGCTTTACATATAAATTTGCTATAGGCTTTCTTTAATGAATTTTTCTAAAATTGTGGGAATATCAGAAATATCTCAGGACCAGAGCTTGCCAGATCAAGTTATCAACTCAGCTTTACTACTCACTGTCAGATGAACCTTGGCAGGCAAACCCTTTTTAATCTCTCTAGACTACTGTGGGTTCTTAGTTCCATCAAGGTATAAATTTGGGCTATGTTGAATGTTCTTAAGAGAATAACATGAACTTGGTAGTGAGTCTGGACAAACTTAACACACTAGAAATCACAGCCAACTAAAAGTCAATCATAAGTGAAAATGTTCTATTTGAAAGTATAAATTAGGTCAACTGGAAAATATGATTTAATTTGTAGTTGTAGGTGGACTCATGCCACCTTTTAGGAACAGGTTGCATAAGTTTTGCCTTTTTTTACAAAGTGAAATGGTAATAAATGTACTATTAGAGTAACAACAGGCTCAACTCCATATCCAATAAAAACAAAGTAGAATAGACTTGAATAAAATTGGTAACAAAGTCACACATGGAAAAAATCTCACCCTGGAGGTTTTTCTTTATCTGGGAATGCTGAAAATTAGCTATGCCATTGAACATACAAAATCAACACTAAGCCCGAAATCTCTGCTTATATTGGCTTTTGAATACTTCAGGCCGCCTAAGGTATAGTCAGCCAGTCCTGAAATGCACACTTAAATGCAATTCATTGGCTTCCTGTCTGTCTGGAGATGTCAACAGGCTGTAAATCTTGGAAGTCCCCTGGGGTTGGGGGTTTGCACCTGCAAGCCAACTTAGTCATCAAATAGGTCTTTTTTTTATGTTTTACAAAAGGCTGCTTCATTTTTATTTCCATGATTACCTTTATACCACTTCACATCCTTATTTTGTCTATAACGTTTTCACAAATTTATACAATTCTCCATTCTTTTCCAACTATAAGATTTTAGAGTTTTAGAAGGGGGTAGCTGTTGTTCTCAAACAGAATAAGGGTCAAATTAAAGACAGCAGGAAGGTGAATCTTCTGAAACCAAATCCTCAGACCTGCAGAACTCAGTTATAAAACAGCGGGGTAAATTCTGAAAAGACAAATACTTATTTTTGCCTCATTTTGAAAAAATACAAGAAGATGCTAGGGAAAGGGTCTATAATTAATGATTGTATGATGAGAATATATGGATGGATTTCTCATTTTTCTGGCACTTGATACAACTTTTGAGATTGATCTGATTGAAATAACTAAGTCCCTAAACTGAGCTCTGAAGTAGGAAATTTACTCAAACTATTTAGTAGACTATAGTTTTCAAACAAAGGACATCTGGAGTCTATTTTAGTAGGGTTAGAGAGACAAATGTTATAGACAAATGAAAGAAATTTCCTCTTTTTAAGGCATGTAACAGATAGTTTATAGATTCTTGCAAGACAATTTTGCTCCATTCAATTTATATTTTAAAGCAACTTAAGGGTAGATTTAGATTTGAAAAAAATTCAAATCATGTGAAAGTACATGATATTCTTAGCAGTCAGTTCAAGTGCTTTAAATGAGTCACTTAATAATCTTGATGTAAGAATATTTTCTTTTAAGTAACATTTCTTTTCATTAGTTTAGGAATTGAAATAGAAGATTAAAGAAAATTCACACAGGATTTTCTTTTGAATGATCATAAATTATGTTCCAAATCAAAATAAAAATCAAATAAAAAGTTCTGTTATAATCTTGATTATTCATTATGGCACCAAACCAAAGAGACAATCTTAATTGTGCAGTCTGGATAAATGTGAATTCATAGTAACTTTTTTCTTTTTTTTCCAACAATTAATGTCAAAACACTTTCATTAAAAATATTTTTGAGGTCTTATTGACTTGCTTTTGCTGAATCTTTTACTTTTTTATAAGACCAAAACATATTTTACGTTCAGAAATTGACATCTGTCTGAAATACTAGCATAGAGACTTCACTTGCCAATAATGATAGCTCTATTTAGCTGAAAATAAAAGGAAGTTTTACCCATGGGAACAAAAAGTGGTCTCATTCTCCCATCTCAGAACTCAGAAAAGTTCAAAGCCATCAAAGGAGTCTCAGTAAGTGTCCCCAGGAGGAAGAAAGTGGCAGAGATTCAGAAACATTATGAGAATCAATTCTAAGTGACATTGATGCTTTTAAGATGGTACTTTTGAAATTTGGAGAAGTAAGTGTTTGGAGTCAAGGATAAGAAAGCATCATCTCTCAGTGATGAAAATCATGACTCCTAAGAATGCATGGAAACTCTGTTGAGGACCAAACTCATCTGTTTGGTGAGAAAGCTAATGTTGTAGTTCTTGAGAACTCTCTCCAGATTACTAAAGCTGTTTTAATTCATAAATGAATTTTCATTCAAAATAGTGTATTTCTCTGTACATTAGTGAGGAGAGGAGGGAGCAAATATTCAAACAAACAGATACAGAGAAGAAAATATCTAGGATAAAATGTAAGAGTAAAAATGTTTTTCCCTTTTGTTCTTTCAACTACTGTGTTTCAACATAAAGGTAAGGTAGTGAGAGTTGGTTTATTGGGTTGCTGTTTGTAAACACAATTGAAATTCCATAATAAAACTTCAAATGTATAACAGAGAAAGATTAATAGACATTTATACTTAATGTTTCATCTATCCAACCAATGTTCAAGTATTCAACATCATCCTGCACATAATAACAAAAGCATTAACACGAGTGATATTTTAGCTTATTTTCTTCTTTACTGAAAAATGTGCAGTCCTTCATACCACTCAAGTAGGTGAAGAAGAAACAGAAGAAAAAAAAGCAAAAATTATTAGTTAAATATCATAATGTATGAGTTATTTTAACCTTTACTTATCTCCATTGTGATATTCCTAAATTGTTTGTGATGTATCTTTTATAATTATGACTGATTTTATCACCTCACATGGTCATGAAGTACAGTCAAACATGGAATAACCCTGAATGACAATAATATTAATATATTTCTAGTCAGAGGGAACCTTTCACATGGTACTTCACCATGAATTTGACAACTGACAATGTCTCCCTTTCATTAACCAAGATTCTAATGAGTTTAACATCCTGTGGTAAAGGACAAGACTCAGAAGGAGGAAAGATGATTTCCAGTGTCATTTCCTCAGAGGATATAGCCCATCTTCTGTGAAGTCTTGGCCACAGTTAAAAATGTTTATTCCTCTTAGAGTGTCCATGTAATAAAAAGCATAATAACAAACAATTACATAATTACAAACATTTGCCTGAAAACAGGCAAATAACTACAAATTAAATGGGACAATAATGACAAATCCCAAGCTGATACTAGAGAGAGTAATTCCCCTTATTTATCTTCTACCTTTCAGAAGCAATAAAGGAACAAAAATGGAATCTGGAATCTTAAACTATTTTAATGGCATAACTAAAGCTAAGAATGTCCTATTAAATAGGACATCTGGACCATCAAAGTTTCTTTTACTAGAGCATTTCAGTGGCAGATGCTGATTCATTGTGATTTTATTTCATGTCTAGTGTTCTCATGTATTTTTAGCTTCCCCTTTCTGAGGGGATAGCTGCTGAGTCCTGGGTTCTCCTTAGACTCAAGGCTGTTTTTCCTGCAGAGGAGAGTCCCCAGCCTTTTGGTGGAGAGCATTTGTCAGGGTTGCAGGAACAGCACTGCCTTGACCCTGCTTCTTCACAGAATTCAAGGATGTGGCAGCATTCAGGGGAAGAGGTCTTAAAAACAGCCAGGCACCCAAGCTTGAGCACACTTCAGTTGACCATGGACTAGGGCATCTCCCTGGAGGTCATTGCCCAATTATCAGAGAAGGGTGTGATGGAGAGTAGGGAAATCCCTTAGCAAAACCTCGACTCAAATGGACTTTTTAACTCCATACTGGGTGAGACTCAGTAATATGTAGATTGAATTTAAAAGCATTAAAACAACGCTTAACCAATTATTAAATCTTTAGTAAACTATTGCCGTGAAATAAACTTCACAACTGTTGCACACTTCTTTAAAATAATATTGACTATGATGATTTAAAGAACTTAGAATTACTTCTGATTACAGGTTAATTTATTATTGGATAACAAGCAGATAATCAAAAAAATTATCTATTTGTTAGCAGTAAGTTTTCTATCCATGCTATAATTAACTGATTTGCACATGCTATATTTTCTTTTCCTTGATTTTTTACATAAATTCCTCAAGTGAAAATGTACATTCAGGGCTATCTCTCACTGTATTTTAACGGTTCACCAAATCCTAGCCCCAACAGTATATCCAGATTTAGACCAGAAAACATCTTCTAATTAATTCTGGCTTTTATTTTTCATCAAGACCTCTTTGAATATTTAAATCTTCATTTCTCATTCTTTGAGTTTCATAGGACTCTCAAAAGCCCTGTGTGGTTGGCAAGATAATCAATGGAAAAACATGAAACCAAAACAACTCAGCTTAGGTCCCTACCTCTGCTTATTTGATATGGTGGCTATAGTTAAAATTTTTTTTCTTCTAGGAGAAGAAAATATCTATATCTAAATATGAATGGTATCCTACAAGCTTTTCTTTAGTAAAAACATAAAGATGGGTATCATTGTACACATCTATGATACCAGAAACTTGGGAGGCTAAGGCAAGAGGATTTCAATTTGAAGGCCAGCCTCAGTAAACTAGTAAGACCCTGTCTCAAAATAAAAAATAATAATAATTATTATTATTATTATTATTATTTTGTTTAAAGACTGAGGATGTAATTCTGTGGTGGAGTGCCCTAGGGTTCAATTTCCACACAGTTCTCACCACCCCCTAAAGAAAAAAGTCATAGAGAATAATTTAAAAAGCTATTTCATCCACTCAAATGTGGAAACTAAAAGAGCTGAGGGAGGTGGTGTAGAATGGGGGAATAGAGGAAAATGAACAAAAAACAGAAGCTGCAATTATTAAGGAGTAAACAACCAGCAATGGTAGAAAGGAGTAGAAAATAAGAGAAGGCAGGAATAGACTTTCTTCTAAGAACAGACACATGCCATATGGAACTTCACTGTACTAGATCCTCCTCCACAATCCCCTTAAGTAAGCTTTAAATGGAAAACGTATTTGATTCAAGTATATTTGCAAATGCTTACACACAGCAACTTTGACAACAAGATTTTGATGTAAAGAACCTTGGTGGCATGCTTGTAGTTTGAACAACTGCTCTCAAGATGTCCATAGCAACCTCTATCCATAGAGGAGGCAGGCTAGGTCTCAACACTGTAGCAGTTGTTTGACTTACCTGGCTGCAATCCGGCCAAGCTCTAGCAAACAGAGACAAACTTCTCGGGGTTGCTTGTGGAGGACTAGAAGACAAGACAGAAATAGATACATTTACAATAGAAGGGACTGTAAAGCAGCTCTACAAGGAACAGACTTGCTGATGACTGCTGCCCCTCCCCAGTTCCTCTTGATCCCAGAAAGTGAGCCAGTATTCATTTTGACACTCACAAGCTCTATCTTACTAGTTTTCAAGACACTGCTAACCCTTGCCTCCAAAAGCTGTTAGTCTCAGAAACTCTCACGCTAAGTAATTCTCATCCTGAACATATTTTTTAAAGGAGTTAATATTAGTAAGTCAATGTTAGATACATGGATAGCTGTCATTCTGATATTTAAAAACACACAACACACACAGACTAGATGTAAGACCATCCTTTTTAATATCTTGGATCCACCCTTTCCCAGTGATTCTAGAAAAAAGAATGCAAACAAATAAGGATACAAATTGTAAATTACTCTCCTTTATTAACTTTCAAAGAAGAATGTCAAGTGAGACTCTGAAATTTGGTGTCTTCTTCTAATCAAATATGATTATTAAATAATGTTTTAAAGAGATACTTTTAACTGTGTTTTATAAATATAAATCAACTTTGTAAATGTGTACCAGCCACCTGTGTTTATTAAATGAGCAAATTGGAAGATTTCTTTGAACTGATATTTCTATTTTAATATTATCTAATAACTTGATAATTCTGATTTACTGTAAATTTAATATAAATGTAGCTTTGGCTACATTTCATAATATTGACAAATCATACTTGTATTTGTTGAGCCTAATAAAAGCATGTACTGCTTAAGCAACCACTTTTAAAAGCTTGATCAAGATATTTTTAAAATGTTATTTGTCATTTAAGAAAAGGAAAAGAGATGTTGAAAAAATTTTTCTCTGAGGACACTCTTTACCAAGTTTTACAATTAGTGTTCTAATAAAATATTTGCTTATTAATAAACTTTAAGAAAAACAGAAATATTTTTAAATTCTTGAACATAGAATTTTGTAATTTTTCAGGATTATTTTTACTTCACTTAAACATTATAATTACTTCTCCTTACAAATTATGGCATTAACTGTATATGGCTCTCTGATACCATGATAGAATTTGCTAGAAATGCATATAAGTAGAAAATAATACTTTTACTTAAATAATAAAAGTATGTGATTCCATTTCGTTTTAAACAGACATGTGAATTATTCTAATTCCATCAGCAGTGTCACTTTAAAAGAATTGATTATGGAAACTAGGAATTAGAGAATATTTCTATTGTTGATGATACAAATTTTAGTTTTAATTGGTCACTGGGGAGTTATTACAATATTCTACTAAAGGAAGTCTTGAGTTACTTCTAATTAAAGATCCTTCATATAAAAAAATATTTACCTCTCTCATTTCAAATGAGCCAGATGACTGTGGCTAGAATAACAACTTTATAAGATTTTGTACATTAAATCAACTTCAGAGCAAAGTAACATCAGGATTGTAATATCACATAAACATCAGTTCCAAGCAGAGAACAATAACAAATATCATAAAAACTAAACAAATGAAAATCGATATTCCTGTCTTAATTATCAATTTATTTAGATTTGTAGTTTAAAACAAACAAATAAACAAAACAAAACCTTGTCCACGACATAAAATAACAAAGAGTTCTGAGAGGGAGGAAGAACCCTATAAAAACCAAGAAACAGAAAGAAGCCTTGAAATACCCTGCTGATACCCTCATCTGAAGTGAAAGTAGTGTGAAGCTAGTAACTAAAGCCTCAGGAGCTTTAGGTACACTTTCATGCATTTCTTGATAGAAAAAGTGTCAAAATATAAACATTATTAGTGAATTGACTCAATGGTGTCAATGTGCAATCAATAACCAACTACAGGAAGTAATATTTGACACAGATATAAAAATACTTTAACCAACTTACACATATTCTGAGGATGATATAAGTATTGGTGTGTAAGTAGGTGTTTTATGAAAACTCAAACTCATTCTGAAGAAAAACAATAACAAGGGCCACATAAAAATGAAAATTTGTCATGAAGGATGCATCACTATTGTGGATCTCTTTGTTTCTTGTTTGTCAAATTAAACAGATTTCGCCTTCTAAAACCCAAATGTTGACTCTACATGGTCTTATAAGAAAATCCATTTGGCAAAATAAAAAAAAATAATAATTTTTTTCATTTTAACAGAACCAACCTATAAAATTTGACATGAACATCTCTCCCAGTGTAATATTTAAGGAAAATGCTGACAAAAACTTGTTTCACTTTCAAGTTTTCTTAGAAATACTGCCTTTAATAAAGTAATAAAATTGCTTCAAAATATACCTATATTATTGTTTCACAGGTTAATGACTTTTCAAACATTGGACATACCATGCCTGGCTTAATGTGGCCCCCCCAAAAAAATCAATGATTTATGACTAGTAAGGAATGAATGAGATAATCTAGAGGTGCATGATTTGGCACAATGACCAGATCTCAGTAATTCCTTAGTTACTATTATATCTCATAATATCAAGGACGACGATAATTACATGGTAGTGATAGTGGTTGAGACAATGCACAAACTGAAATAAGATTAATTTTACCTAGAAATGGCAAGAATTTATAAAAATAAGTATTGAATAATAGAAATAAGCACTCATATAACATTGTTGTGAAATTAAAATTCAAAAATTTTTAAGTAGTATGGGTATGTATAGTGTGCTTAAGAGTTGACTCTTATTTTTGTACAAAAGCAAGTTCTAAACTGAATTTAATAGATGGAAAGAATGTAATGAGGAAGTAAGGGGCAATGAAATTGACAAAATTATATTATGTGTATCTACAACTATATTACACCTAATCTTACTATTTTGTATATATATAATATACTTATAAAAATAATATAGTATTTGTGGATTCAAGCCACAAATATCAAAGTGTGAGCTCTAATATTTACTACTTGTTTTATTTTGGGAAGTCATTCCATAAAATCTCACTTTTCTAAGGAAATAAGATACAGCCTACCTCACAATATTTTTTGTGATGATTAAACAAAACAATATTAATATATGCTTGGCACAGTACTTGTTAGGAAATGCTTGCCCAATATTAGCTCCCTTCATTATTCTTTTTTATTTTATTGTTTTTTATGATTTGCTTAAAGATCATTCTCATTTGCTTCAGCCACTGAACATTACTGTTTTTTCCTATGTATGTTTTATTTGTGCACATATAAAGTGTCAGACCCTACATGGTAGAAGAATAAATTCTGAAATGAAAGAAACAATTACTATGGGGATACAGTAATTTAGAGTAGGATCACTCTATGATAACGTGTATTTTTAAATATTTTATACTATATCAGAGATAGCACTAATTTCAACCAAGTTTTATGTTAAACACATAATTTTGGCCAGTATGTATAGACAGAAACAAAGTAAATATTCTTTAGCTATTATAAGTATATGTTAAATATAAAGTTTAAGTAACAATTACAGTTGGACACATTTTATTTTCAAGACACCAAACATCCTACCATTAATTTTTCTTTGAGAATAATTCAGTTGAGTCTACAATCAATAAATTAATCAAACTGACTATTGTATAATTTGTAAAAACAAGTAATTGAATGCATATCTTTGTGTTAGGATGATTAGAAAAGCAACTCTTGGTGAGTTGAATTTGAGCTAAAACCCTTGCATTAAGTCATCTGTACCATTAATTTATACATATTTATTCATTTTGTTTTTAAGCAAAAATTTTCACTTCTCATGAAATTTATGGTAGGAACAATTTTTTCCCACTACATCATTACAATACTGCTGTGTATTAAGGGTGGGAGAGAACCTTCATATTCTTGTCTGTTCCTCTGAGTAAATTATTTTTAACAAATAAAAATCTCTGTAGTCAACAGTGATTATTATGCAAAAGGTTTTATTCACTAGATGCTTTTAAGAAATAATCAAAACCAAAATCAAAGCAAATTATAAGGTAGAACACCTCTGAGAAAAGTAATACAGATCCCCATTCAAAAATATGTGTCCAGAGACTCAATCTTATAACCTAGATTCTATAAAAATCTCATGGGCATCAAATGTCAGATGGAATGCTGCTTGCTCCAGGAATAGAAAATGAGGCTTTCCACTAAAGCAAGGGGTAGAGTTTCAATGTCACAGAATCTGCAAGGATAAAATGCATTAGACCATGAATGTATAGTGTAGCTAAATATATTAAGTTTTAACAGATGGGCAAAGAAATGGAAGCATGAAAAATCTGTTGTCCATTTGGTTTCTATATAAGTAGAGGCTGCAATATTTATGGTAATATTGAAAAGAACTGTTTTCTGGCTTTTTATTTAGGAAGAAAACTATATATATATTTCACCTTGATGGAGTTGAATTATGAAGAATATCATAAACTAATGGCTTTCTGCCTTTGTAGAGCAGAGGTTTTTAAAAATTCAAAGTGGTAGAATAGACAATATAGGAGTCTATAAGTCAGAGGAATCAGTTTATATTCAGTGCTCCTAATTTTCTCATATCCCAAACAGGTGTCACACCTTTTACCTGCTTTCCTTCCAAATTAATTATGTGTTGAGAGCACTTGGAGCATGATAAACACTTAGTAAGCATTACATCCCTAGTAGAGAAGAGGGGGTCTACAGATAAGCAAAATTAGCTTCACATGGGAATTTCACAGAAATACAATTACCAGGTCCAATTTCAGCCCTTGTCGGGGTCTGCACTCTTAAAAGTTTTCCAAGTGATGAGTACATACATTAAAGTTTGATAGGCACTGTGTGAATCGATATGATAACAATAAGCATAACATAATTCTTATATGTATTTTGCTTAAAAATATGTTCTGTAATACATGAAAAATGTTCTATAAATGTGAAGGCTAACACTTATGACTATGATGATGAAGATGAATGGAGGGAAATCAAATTCATAAACTAGATTAGCCTTTAGTGGATATTATGGACATTTCTCTCCTGCCAGGATCTACAAGAAAAAAACAACTGCTCCCTAAGTCTC